CACAGTTCCCCCCGGGAAAGAAGCCCCGTTGACAAGCAGGAACGACGTGATCAAGCACAGGTCGCATTGATAGGTTCATAGTAGCAGATAGTATCTTGACATCTCAACTACGGAGCCCCAGGACACGAACTTTGCCGGGGGAACGCGTGCACGACCCACTCTGCAGCTCGTCGTCATCGATGCTTTTCGGGAGGAAAGCTTGGACGGTCGCACTCGCGGCATCACAGAGCACCTGGCCCACGGAGACCCACTCGAGGCAGGCCCATTGGACCTCGAGACCGGCCTGCCAGGCCGCATAGGGGGGCCCATCTTCACCAGTAGCCGAGCGCCGAGCACGAGAGAGGACCGATTTCATCATCTTGAACGAGGGGGGCGGGAGGACGAGGTCCCCAATGGGGGGGGCATCTCACGGATGCAAGATGTCGCCGCAGTCTCGCCCCACGACTTCTGTGAGAATGCACGGGCCCAGAACTCCCGAGCCTCTCCTCGGGCGTGGACGCGGGCGAGAGATCCGCAGAGGTAGCCGCGGCGAGCGAGATACGTCGGTTCAGTGGAGACTAAATCCTCGCACGCCTCTCCAGTGCACGCAGCTGGGCCCTGAGCTGCGGCGACTCCCCATTCGGCATCGCACTGCTTGCGCAGCTCGGCGCGCGCAGCATCCGCCGCCTCACACTGAACGCGATCAGACCAGGCCGGGAAAGATTCGGGGTGACGCAATCGTACCACACCATGCTCAACCTCCAGGAAGTCGGACGCCACGATATGAGAGCGGAGTAGTTCTTCCCCGAGAGCGATATCCTGCTTCCAAACGCACCGGGCAATCGAACGCGCAAGCTGCAGGAGAGTACGCGGATGGTGAGGATGAGCACGAAAGAGACGACCACGGGTCTCACAGGCGGCAATGCGAACCAGCTCTTCGCACCACTTGAAGCGACGGGGAGGGGGGGGCGAGGTAGATCGGCACAATCGACGAGAGCACGCAGTCGCTGAAGATAGATAGGACCCTGGAACACACGACGGTCGATCGGCTGCTTGTCACTGGGGCGGGGACGCCTCGGCGAAATTGTAGGAACAACGGCAACATGGTCCGAAACAAGAGCATCGGATACTTCAGCAGCCGCACCGATAGTATTGACCTGGAGAAATAAGTGGCATAGCATCCACCCAGGGCACGAGAGGAAGAGACGATCGATGCACGATTCAGAGTTGCTGGCTGCGTCGCAGCGGGTGGGCGAGGTGCTCCCCACCCTAAGCAGCTCGGCAAGCGCGCGGCGCCAGGTGGGCGCCTGCGCACGGTGCCTCCGAGCCGCGCGGCAAACCGCAGCCTGCGGCACGCGCGGGACCACGGCCTCCTCCGACGCGAAATTGGAGTCCCCGTCGACGATGACGAGACGCATGGCAGGGTCCCTGGCCGCAGAGGCCCGAGCACCACGGATGACCCGCACCACCGGCGCGACCTGCAGGGCCGTGAGCTCGCGATCGTGGACATTGAAGATGTCGAGCTGGATGTCCGCGACCTCGACCATCACGTGGATGACCCGCCCAGCCACCAGCGGGACAGCACGGCTCTGAACAGGATGACCACCCACAGCACCGAGAGCAGGAAGGAGGACCGCCACGCCACCCCGCACCCTCTCCTCGGGTGCGTCGCCGCAAAATGAAGCGCGAATTGTGACCGCGGGGTCGATGCCACGAATGAACTCACTGAGCTGCCGAAGATCTTGCCGAACCTCCTGAAGGGAAACAATACATTGCCGATGTTCAACTTTTCAAAATACCTCCTCTTGAACGCGGCCTTAGCCCCGGCCACTTGCAAGAGAGCCCTAGCATTCCAAGTCACCACACGTAGTGGAGGACTAGCACCACCAGGTACAGGAGCAGAACATGTGAAAAGCCTCGCAACATCAAAGACACCACTAAGGCTCAGCTTGCGGCGCCACGAGGTGACGCGTGAGCTGCACGAGGTTGTTCTTGCACATGTTGTGCCTGTGCAAAGCCTCTGGGTCCCACATGATGGTCGCTGGCGCAGCACCTGCGGCAACCTCGACACGAAGGATCCTGTCCCACCCGACCGAGAGCGTGCCACGGTCGCGGTCGCTGAAGAGACGGAGGTTGGGATGGGCCTCGGCGATGACGGAGCGACAGCGGCGGAGCAGCATCTCGGTTTTGATCTGGTGATGGGTTCTTCTCAGGGCCGAGGTGCATACGCGCCTGAGCGGCGCCTGGTACGTCCACGTGGAACTCCTTCCACACACCATCCACACGAAGACGAGGAAGAACACGAAGGACCTTGCGCGAGGCAACGGCGACGAGGCCGCCGAACTCAACAGCGAACTTCTTGCAGGGCGCCTGCCCCACTGGGGAGACGTCGTAGTCCGACTCGGGGAAGCCGAGCTCGCCGAGCCACTCTTCGAGCGCCACACACACGAGCTGTTTGGTGGTAGCTGCTTGGCACATGATGACAACCACCGTGGCGTCGACGTCGCGCCCGAATCCCTGCGGGACAGCGAGCGGGGCCTGGGGACGCTGCTCAGCGAGGGCGAGCTGGTCGTGGAGCTCACGCATCTGTGTCTTGAGCTCGTCCACATATCCTCCCATAGACAAAATACGACCACCATGATCTTGTAGCGCCCCAGTGCGCACATCAATCTGCTTCTGGAACCGACGAGAGGCTTCATCAACACTCCGTCGAACAACGCCGAGAATCCGCCGACCCTGTCGGCGTGTGTGAGGAACTTTTCCGTTCGAGCCGTCATCTCCGTCATTTTTTGTACTCGTCGTCTCTGTCCTTCCCTTTCCCTGGGAGACCTCTTCCCCTGGGCTCCAGCCAAGCCGACCTTGAGCAACCTCGTAATTGAGTCGAAGGGAAGCCCCTTCCCTTTGATCCCTCCCCCGCCAGGAGGGGGGGGGGGTAGCGACCCCCCCCCCCGGGTCAGATACGACGCCCCCCCCTGGGACTCCTCTTCCCCTGGGCTCCAGCCAAGCCGAAGCCCCTTCCCTTTGATCCCTCCCCCGCCGGGAGGGGAGGGGGGGGGGTGTCGACCCCCCCCCCGGGTCAGATACGACGCCCCCCCCTGGGACTCCTCTTCCCCTGGGCTCCAGCCAAGCCGACCTTGAGCAACCTCGTAATTGAGTCGAAGGGAAGCCCCTTCCCTTTGATCCCTCCCCCGCCGGGAGGGGGGGGGGGTCGACCCCCCCCCGGGTCAGATACGACGCCCCCCCCTGGGACTCCTCTTCCCCTGGGCTCCAGCCAAGCCGACCTTGAGCAACCTCGTAATTGAGTCGAAGGGAAGCCCCTTCCCTTTGATCCCTCCCCCGCCGGGAGGGGGGGGGGGGTAGCGACCCCCCCCCCGGGTCAGATACGACGCCCCCCCCTGGGACTCCTCTTCCCCTGGGCTCCAGCCAAGCCGACCTTGAGCAACCCCTGGGCTCCAGCCAAGCCGACCTTGAGCAACCTCGTAATTGAGTCGAAGGGAAGCCCCTTCCCTTTGATCCCTCCCCCGCCGGGAGGGGGGGGGGGGTGTCGACCCCCCCCCCGGGTCAGATACGACGCCCCCCCCTGGGACTCCTCTTCCCCTGGGCTCCAGCCAAGCCGACCTTGAGCAACCTCGTAATTGAGTCGAAGGGAAGCCCCTTCCCTTTGATCCCTCCCCCGCCGGGAGGGGGGGGGGGGTGTCGACCCCCCCCCCGGGTCAGATACGACGCCCCCCCCTGGGACTCCTCTTCCCCTGGGCTCCAGCCAAGCCGACCTTGAGCAACCTCGTAATTGAGTCGAAGGGAAGCCCCTTCCCTTTGATCCCTCCCCCGCCGGGAGGGGGGGGGGGTGTCGACCCCCCCCCCGGGTCAGATACGACGCCCCCCCCTGGGACTCCTCTTCCCCTGGGCTCCAGCCAAGCCGACCTTGAGCAACCTCGTAATTGAACCAGCCAAGCCCGACTCCTCTTCCCCTGGGCTCCAGCCAAGCCGACCTTGAGCAACCTCGTAATTGAGTCGAAGGGAAGCCCCTTCCCTTTGATCCCTCCCCCGCCGGGAGGGGGGGGGGGGTCGACCCCCCCCCCGGGTCAGATACGACGCCCCCCCCTGGGACTCCTCTTCCCCTGGGCTCCAGCCAAGCCGACCTTGAGCAACCTCGTAATTGAGTCGAAGGGAAGCCCCTTCCCTTTGATCCCTCCCCCGCCGGGAGGGGGGGGGGGTAGCGACCCCCCCCCCGGGTCAGATACGACGCCCCCCCCATGGGACTCCTCTTCCCCTGGGCTCCAGCCAAGCCGACCTTGAGCAACCTCGTAATCTCTTGCTGCGCATTGCGAACAGGGTCGGCGGCACCGGCCGTCAGGCCTTCGCAATCTTCTGACCGAGCGCCGCAGGTTGACCCGCAAGCTCGCTCCGCAGCTGGTCGACGAGGGCAAGCATCTTCCCATTGGCCGTAGCAACGTCGTCGGTGACACATATCTTGACAGAGTTCGCCAGCTCCTCCTTGACACCCTCCAACAGGGTCGGGACGAGATCCATGCACACCTTGCGTACGTAGTCGTCCGACATATACGCATACTCGGTTTCCTGATCGCCATCATCAGCGGCAGCAGCACACTTGCGGGGAACGAACTTGCCGAAACCACCCGCACGAGAGGAGCCACCAGCCGGAGCAGCGCCGCGACCACCCTTGCCAGCACCACCAGCGGGCGAGGGCGCGGGCTCCTGCGAGGTGAAGGTGGGACAGACGTCGATGGCGGCAGCATCCTGGGACGTGAGCTGGGGCGGCAGCGGCGGCCATGACTGAGGTACTTGGTGCGATCGGACCGACAGGAACGGGAAACACCTCCGTCTACCCACCGTCCCAAGCGCAGGAAGGATGGACGAGAAAGAGCACAAAGTTTCAAGAAGTCTTGCCAGCCGCGGACTACCGGTATCCGCTTGGCTCCCAGGGGAAACCTGCATCTTGAGCCAAAACGGCTACGGAGAGAGGAGGAGAAGGAGGAGGAGGAGGAAGAGGAGGAGGAGGGTCCTCGCCATCCGCTTGGCCATCGCGGCGATCCGCGGCGCGGTCCGGGTCATGAAGTCCCGCTGCCAGGACGGCTGCCCAAGGCCCTCCTCGGCGCCCTCCTCCACCTGAGTGTGAGGGCGAGGGGCGAGTGGGGAAGGGGGGGCTTTGTGATCATCGTTTAAACCGATCCCTATTCTCACTGGCGTGTCCTTGGCCCCATTGGCCGACTTACCCACCTAAACAAGAGGAGAAACATCTGCCTGCTCCTTCGGCTTTCGCGGGGCAGGTGGGATGTGAGCACGAGCAGTGGAGAGGACAGCTTCAAGTTGAGCAAGTGATTGATTGCATCACCTAGATTGCACCGCAAATACTTATACGACCACCCTTCGGGAAATAAGGAGGTTGTGGGGGAAACCAACTGACGACAACTGCGCTGATTGCGATGGCGTCGATGCCGGACAAACAGCTACACCATCGGGACACCATGGGGGCAACCATCAGGACTCCATGTGGACACCATCGAGACGCCATCCAGACACCATCCAGACACCATCGAGACACCAGCATGAAAATCGGTTTGTCGATTTCACGATTGATCTGGCAATCGGTCACTCATTCAGACGATCAGTCTCACTATCAATCGGTCCCACTAATTATCTATCTCGCAATCGATCCCACTAACTGCCGATCGATATCACTATCGATCGGTTTTACTATCCCTCGAGGGGTTACTATCCATCGATCCCACTATTTAATGATCGATCGATCTCACGGGGCAACCATGGGGAAAACCATCGGGGAACCCTCGGGACACCATCTGGACACCATCTGGACACTATCGGGGCACCGCATCATGGGACACCACCGGGACACAATACGGACACCAACGGGGCAACCATCGGGACACCGTTGGGAAAACAACGGAACACCATCGGGAGCCCATCGAGACACCATCGGGACACCATCTGACCACCGTCGGGACACCATCGGAACATCATCGGGACACCATCGGGACACCATCGGGACAACCACCGGCAAAAACCATCACACCATGTGGACAACATCGGGACACCATCGGGACACCATCGGGACACCAACGAGACACCATCGGGACACAATCTGGACACCATCGAGACACCATATTACGGATACCATCGGGACACCATCGGGATACCATCGGGACACCATCTGGACACCATCGGGACAACATGTGAACACCATCGGGACACCATCGGGACACCATGGGACATCATGATACCATCGGGACACCATCGGAACACCATCGGGACACCATCGAAACACTATCGGACACCATCTGGACACCGTCGAGACACCATCGAGACACCACCGGGACACCATACGGACACACCCAGGCCACCGATGGCCAACCAGGGGGCACAGCATCATGTAGCCCTGTTTCGGCCTGGCCACGGCGGCTTCAGTCCGCCCGCCAGCCCACGCAGCTTTCCCCCGCCCGCACGCACGACACGAACACGAAACCGAAACTGGTTTCCAAGCGGCGGGTCTCCGTCTCACTTCGATTTTGCCCTCCAACCTCCGATTGCAAGAAACCACGGTTTGGAGCCCACGCTAGATCCCAACCGTTATGTCATTGCATGCGTTGTCGTGGTGTGTCCTGTTATATCCTGCTCTCACATGATGTGATATGTTATGCGTTGTTATGCTATGGGGCCATGACGTATAATGTCATGATATGCTACACTGTGCTATGCCGTGCACTGTCATGGTATGATATGTCATGGTATGGACTGCTATGTGCTGTGACACTGTGCGACTGCGTGATATGTTCTGCCATGGTACGTTATGATATGATAATTTCTGTCATGGTGTGTCATAGTATGCTATGTCATGTTGTGTCGTGAGGTGTGGTGTTATGCGATGTTCTGTGTGACCAATTATGTCATAGTTTATGGTGTTATGTTATGCTCTGTTTCGCTATGATATAGCATCATATGCCGCGCTCTGTCATGGTATGCTGTGTCACGGTATGAAACGGTATGTGATGTGATGTTGTGCTATGTTGTGGTTTGTTCTGTCATGGCATATGATGTGATGCTCTGGTATGCCATGTTACGATCTGATATGGTACTGCATGATATGTTATGTGTGCACCTATGTGTCATAACATGTGTTGCTCTGTTGTGCTGTGATATGATTTGTTATGCCATGTGATATGATGATGTGGCATGCTCCTGTTTGGTATGTTCAGTTCTGCGTTGATGTGTTATGGTATACTTGATTTGTCATGTTATGGAATGAAATCTGCTGCGATGCTGTGCTATGGTATGCACTGCTCGGATATGCTTTGTTCGGTAGTGTGGTGTTATGCTCTGTTCTGTGGGGGACCTGAGGATCTGGCGGCCGCGGTATGCAGAGTGGGCGAATCGGCGCGGGGGGCGGGACCCTCAGGGATTACCGGGTGACCTGGGGATCTGACGGCCGCAGTATGCAGGGTGGGCGAGTCGGCGCGGGGGGACGGACCACCAGAGATTTTGGGAAGGGGAGCCTGGGGATCTGGCGGCCGCAGTATGCAGGGCGGTGGGATGGCGGGACCACGAGGAATTTTCGGGAGCCTGGGGATCTGGCGGCCGCGGTATGCAGGGCGGGCGGGCCGGGAGGTCTGTTCTTAAAATCTAACGACCCCAACCTGTCGCGTGGGGAACAACTCCTCGCTGTCGCACCCCCAAACGTGTCAGCAGGGCGGACTGGGTGCTTCGCACGAAATCCCCAGCGCCGTCCGGGTGAGGTAAACCTTGAAGAGGTACAGGATGACAAACCTGCGACTCAGAAAGCAGCTGGCCCATGTAGGGGAAGGCCTTGGAACAAAAAGAGTTGGCCGAATGTGAGGGGTGCGAGGGTCCGGAACAGGGCGAGGACCTGGGCTCACAGCAGAGCCAAAGCAAAACTGACCGAGCGCAAAGCTGGGTGCGGTAGACCATGTAAGAGAGGGCCTTGCATGGGTGCAGAAGTTGAAGTGGCCGTCCCTGCACAGGCACGGCAGTTCCGAAGGGGGTTGGAACCACGAGCTCGGAGCAGAGCCGAAAGGACAGCCCAGGCACGCCAGGGGAACCGGATGGTGGTCAAGGGCACGCCAGGCGCCCCACGGCGAGGGACGCGCAGCACCCGCAGGGACGGAGGACGGTTCCTTTTCAAGATGGGGCTCTCGCCTGAGACTTCCTCGAGGTTCACGACCAAGTGAAGCTTGTGCAGCAGCTGCGCGGAGGGGGGCGGTCATTTATATATATATATATATATATATATATATAATATATACATGTGTGTGTGATTCAAAGAAAAAAGAAAAAAACAAAAAGAAAAAAAACGGGGATATCGCTGGACACCTCGCCGAACTGTATGACCATACCTTTTCGCAGTCACGAGTACGCGCCAGGAGGAAGCAAGGCAGGTCCCTGTCGAAACGGATCTCTGGCCTGAATGGCAGGCCCTTATGGTGCTGGCCTTCGAAGAGGGAGCGCCTTGGAGTCAAATGGAAAGCGTGTACGGACTTGTGAGGAGGAGGGCCTGGGACGGGAGGGTGTATTACAGCATCGCTGATGCAGATTGCGTTTACTCTGATCCTGCTCTTCTTCCTCCTCCTCCTCCTCCTCCTCCTCCTCCTCCTCCTCATCATCATCATCATTCCTGCTCCTCCTCCCTTCTACCTCCTCCTCCTCCTCCTCCTCCTCCTCCTCCTCCTCCTCATCCGCCTCCTCCTCCTCCCTGCTTCAACCCTCCCTCCCTCCATCTCATCCCCTCGCACGCGCGCGGTGGGGAGGGAGCGGACAGGGGGGAGAGTGGAGGAGGGAAGAGACATCCTCTATCTGTACCACTCCTTCTTGCTTTCACAGTTGCCCATCCGCGATGACCTTCACCGGCAGGCAGCCTAGTCCTCCAGGAAGTGCGTCCTTCGCTGATGGGGAAGGGAATCAGAAAGCGCACTGCGCATTCCGAGCACGAGCATGGACTGGCACACCACGGACGCAGAATCTGAACATAGCTGCTCACATTGATTCCGAATGCAACAGAATATGGTATGGAACCACCTACTTCACGTAACGGAACATGGGAGCATCGTGATGGCATTTGCAAAGAAAAAATGTCCCCACCCGCGGGCGCTCATTGAACACCATCTCCCCGCTTTGTCACATATCCGCTCTTCTCTTGCACGTGCTGGTTTGCTGACACTGTTCTGGAGAGGGAGGGGCTTGCCGACTAACAGGTTCGAATGCTCAAAGGCTGGCCTAACACACTGACTAAAGATGCGCTGAACAGACCAAGCTGTAAGAGCGCCCGTGAAAAACACACCACCCTTGTTATGGGCCTTTATACGGCCCTGACGAGTGGCACGAGTCACCATTTGACAAGGCTACCGCGCAAGCACTGCGCACCCAAAGAGACTGTCGTCAAGCAAAGGCAGCATCGCAGCTACACATGCATCACTCCTGCACGAACGGGCAAACCACGCAAACGCCAAACCAAAGCTGCATGTATGACGGAAAGAATGTCAGACTCAAATTCCTCGTCTTGACCCATCCTCCTCCTACTGTATCGTCCTCCTCTTCCTCCTTCACCTTCCCGTTCTCCACAATTACACCACATGAACACTGCTCTCCGCTGTCCTCCGAGAACATAGTCAGGGTCCCGCGCCCCCGCCCGCGTATCATATTCTACGCACAAGATGGGTCCGAACTGTGGTTTCCCATGTGTTGTTTCAATCCGAACGTTCTCGGTCATTGCATAATGGTGCTCTCGATGCAGCGTGAGCCTCAAAGTAAGATCACGGCTTGGCTCCCGTCGCTGGGAGCGGCGCTCTCGCACTCCAGCGCGAGCCACTTTTCTAGATCCGAGTCAGTCCTCATCGTTGTCGCCCCCTCCCCTCCTCTCCTCCACCGTCCCCTGGTCCTCCTGTTCCTCCCACTCCTTCCGCTCCAGCTCCTGCTGGTGCTGCTCCTCCTCGTCCTCCTCCTCCTTCGTCATCCTCCTTTTCTTCCTGTTCATCCTCCTGATCATCCGCCGTCCCCTGCTCCAGCGCACGCTGCTCCCATTTTCCGGTTGCGCATAGCACGACAGGGTCCTGTTTGGATTTCCACATCCGATATGACACGCGTCGGCGGATAGATAAAAATCAACGCAATGAAAAGGGATGGGTGGGATGTGTAGGGTGTCAGATATGGCGCGAGAGCAATTAGCGTTCTCCCCCTCTCCATTGTCCTCCGCCCTCTCCCTCGTCTCCCCCTTCTCCTCGCCCTCCCTCGTCCCCCCTCCCCTTTCCCCCCTTTCCCCCCTCCCCCGTCACCCATGGGAAAGCCAAAAGGTACCGATACCCACACTCTCCAGACCTCTCCCAGGGCGAGTTTTCACCAGGATTTCGAGGCGAACCTAGTCTTGGTGCCGAGGACCTCCGAGGATACCCAAAAAGCCAAAAAACGAAGGAGAGGCACCGGTACCTTTTCCTGCTCTGAACCCATCCCCCCTCCCCAGACAGCCGAAGCCGTGATTTGCTCACAACGTGGCTCCCCAGAGGTCTGCACCCCCTCCCTGGAACCGCTTTTCATCCTGAGTCGTTTTCTGACGGTCCTGGGGCCCAGTGAGGGCCCCCGCAGGCCGGAAGTGAGCAAAAACCTTCCGTCGCGTTTGTTCACAACGAGGGGATGTTGGGCCCCTCCTCTCCCCATTCCCCCCCCTCCCCACCTCCCCTCTCCGCCAAAGGAGGTCCTGCAGGTGGACGCGCGCCTGCTGCACCAGGTCTGGGAGCGGCGCCGCGCTGTCCAGGCGCAGCGCCCCTGGGGCGTTGGCGAGCTGGGCCTCCCGGAACCTCTGGAAGTTGGCCCACACCTCAGGCTGACAGGGCCAGGCCCCCTCGCACGGCGAATCAAACGACGACGTGCGGCTTCAGAACCCGTTGTCAGCCCCTGGGGGGCCCCACCTCCTCCTCCTTCTCCTCCTCCTCCTCCTCCTCCTCCTCCAACTCCTCCTCCTCCTCCTCCTCCTCCTCCTCCTCCTCCTCCTCCTCCTCCTCCTCCTCCTCCTCCTCCTCCTCCTCCTCCTCCTCCTCTCCTCCTCCTCCTCCTCCTCCTCCTCCTCCCCCCCCTCCTCCTCCTCCTCCTGCTCCTCCTCCTCCTGCTCCTCCTCCTCCTCTCGGAGGCCGGGATCGGGGGAGGCAGCCCTTCCTGGGAGGTGGGGGAGAGGCGTGAGGCTCGCTCGCTCTCCCCGAACCCGGCGCCCGCGCTCCGGCGAACCCGGCCCCAGTCGGCTGCACGCGAGAGTGACCCTGGCAGTGGCCTCTGGTGCGCGGCTTCTCGGGGGGGCGCTCCCTCCCCAGAGGAGGAGGAGGAGGAGGAGGAGGAGCAGGAGGAGGAGGAGGAGGGGAAGGAGGAGGAGGAGGAGGAGGTTTCATCAGCTCCCGCCTTTCCCTTCTCGGCGCCCCTCCTCCCTCCCTCCGTTCCCCCACCCCTGCGCCCCTTCTTCCTGCCTCCCTCCCTCTCTCTACGTTCCCCTGCCTTCCCGATCTCTCTCGTCTCGCCACTCTGCCTCCGGCGACCTGGCCCCAGTCGGCTGCACGCGAGAGTGACCCTGGGATTAAGTCGGGCGTGTCCCCCTACAGGAGGATGTTCGACGAAAAATTAAGAAATACCCAAAAAATGCTCTAGAATGGTATAAATATATATTATAATAATAATAATGATGATAATAATAATAATAATAAAAATAATAATAATAATAATAAGAAGAAGAAGAGGAAGAATAATAATAAAAATGCTTCCAAAATAGTCCCCAGACTATGTTGTTTACTGCTTTTGAATATTCCTCCTGTAGAGGGACGGGCCCGACTTAACACTGGGAGCGGCCTTTGGTGCGCGGCTTCTGGGGGGGACGCTGGGGGGGCCCGCGCGAGACGCCGCTGTCGCCTCGCGCGCGGCGATCGGGCGACCCGAGCGGGCCCGCACCAACGGTGACTCCCACGAAGGGTCACTCTTACGCGCAGTCGCCCCCAGGCCGTCAAAGACAGACTCGGGGTGAAAAGCCAGTCCCGGGGAAGGAGTCTAGACCTCTGGGGGCCCACGTGAGCATTACGGTCGGACCTACGTCAGAAGAACATCCTTCAAGAACATGAGACCCTCCGCCAGCCAAACCATAAGATCATTGGAGGGTGCTCTCCCCCAGGATGCGCAAGAGCATCCAACAAACACGAAGAACATGAGGGTACCCTCCACGAACCGACCCCGATCGTATACCTCGGTCCGATGTTGGTGCTTTGGACTTCGTCCTGTTTGCTTATCTGTACTTGTGCTCTGAGCGTGGATGCTGTGTCTGGGTCGTGTTGGTCTGGAGACGCTGTTCGTTGTAGTGGCTGGAAGATGGGTGTCTTCCGCATGCTTTTGAGAAGTGGTGGAAGGTCGTCGTTACCATCGTCCTCGTAAGGGTTGGAGGTCTTACGGTATTGCTGCTCGAGTAGTTGGTTCCGTTCTTTAGTCAGTTGGTCGTCGCCCTTCTCACT